GACATTAGTGAACATGGTGATGGAGCAGAACAAGACGCTTTACTTAGGTTATCTAGTTTCACTCTTTATAGATAACTTGTTTAAGGAAATAATTACCACCGAAAGCCACCTCTAGTTACTCCTGCCATATTCCTAAGTCATTTGTTGTAACACTATCCTTCTTCTTCTTTCTATCTTCTATCTTCCTATCCCTCAGCCATAAAATCCGTTGGTGTAAAGGCAGGTCGAGCAAGCATATTATTAAGCCGTACGGCCGTGTCTCTTATGTAGCATTCGTATTTTCCAGTCTGAAGAGTAGGATAGTCGGGCCTCAAGGTCAGCGGCGACATTATCATCGCTTTATACTTTTTATCATCGCACCTCCCGCCATCGGAGCAGAGTTCATCCATGTTATCTGGAACCGCTGTTTTTATCGACAGTGCGTTTCCAGAGGTATTTTTTGCCACATACGATCCGGTTATGGAATGAGCTCCCCTCCACGGTGTTTCTTGAGCGCTATGACTTGTCCTTCTTCAAACGAGGCTTGTGAAGATTATTAAGCGGTAGGCAGCGGCTTGGCTTTGCTCCTGGCATTGCTGAAGTCCATGGACGACGGTAACTACTCACTATCAGGTGGGCCGTATGCTCGTCTGCCTACATGGGCCAAAAAAAAAACTGGTTTGGAAAAATGGACTTCAGTACCCAAGTGGATCCAGAATTCAACTGCCTATCAAACAAAAGTCATGATATATAATTCAATTGACATAAAGACGAGTTCTGTGTGCAGTTCAGGTCTCTGCGATAGATTAATAGAGTCAGGGTCAGCAGATCAATGCTGTAAACACACAAGGTATTATCCAATTATTATCCAATTGGTGCTGAGTGTCATCTGTTGAACTTCAATTTATTGAGGTAGCTCTTCCGAGGTGCAAAGGTCAATAGAGCTCTGATTAAACCAATGCTTAGCCACAAAAGACAGTTATAATACGATTGTGGTACATAATGCAGCTGAGGTCTTGTTTTTTATGTACTGAGATAACCATCTGTAAAGCAATTAACGTAGGTAGTTGAGATTGGAGGTGCGTAATTTTCTTAAATGTATCTCAACACATAGTAACTGTTAAATTAATCTATGCTTGAACTTATAATAACTTACAGATTACTATATCCTATTTTTTTCTTTGTTGTCTCACACTTGTCAGAGCGGTCGTAGTCGTCATTCAGTAGGTATCATTGCTGTGAGCAGATGTTATGCGCCTCACGAGCAATCGCCACTTCTCCTGGTTTACAGTGAGCCCATAGGTGACAGATATACATAAGAACAATGCAGTGTTTCATACTTAGTAATACCTGCTTGCGACGAAGGGCTCGACGAGTAAATTAACCCATAGACATAGCCTACTGAGTTTCTTTAGTCGCATCTTCTCAGTGGGTCGCGTTTTCGATCCAGTGGTAGATTCTGCGAAGCACTGCTCTTGCTAGGGCCAGTGTTAGTATGACTCCGGTTTGAGCCCCGTGATCTCACCTACTCGCCCGGTTACGCTGACATAGTCTCACAAGGCTATCAGCTTAGGTAGAAAAAAAAAGTAATTCCTTCGGATTTCCGCGAACCGTAGACAAAATTATAACAAATTAACGGTTTAATCTTGCGTTTTATTGTCAGTATGTTACTTCAGACGTTTCGTATATGTACTTTATGATTTTTGTGACCACGGACCTGTGTGCTTAGTGCGAGTTTTATAAAGTTCTCGATAGCGTAAAAGCTAACAGCAGTTGTAACAGTGCCCCTAGCGGCAAACGTTCCAACTGCATACAAATTTGAGTTAACTTTTACGCTATCGAGAACGTTAAAGAACTCTCACTAAGCACACTATTTCATCCATTTCAGACGAATGTCTTACTAGAATTTAAGAGTTTATATTTGCCATACAATTGCATTATGAAAATAACGTGAAAATAAATGTCAGAAGTCATCCGCTTCTCTTGTTTTTTGGAGAACTAGTTGTCCCGCAGTAGTCGAAATTCGACTTTAATCAATTGAAATTTTATGTTTAAACATTATTATGGTTCTATTGTCAAATACTATTATACTTATTTAATATACTGACAGATTTCGCCAAAACTACACTATACATAACTAATAATAAAGACTAACAATATTCATTTAATGTCAATTTGACCACAGACTTTAAACACTAACAAAAGTTTGACAATTGACAATAAACAAAGAGTATATTTATATACATATATGTGTTATGTCAATATGTAGTGTGTGTAATGTTTTCTTTGTTGATTTAATGTACCTTTTATGCATTTTTTTTTAAAATATTAGCGTTGTGCACTTCTTCTCTATACTCTCTATAAGTGTGGAAAATTTCATACTCCTCCGTCCGCGCAATTTTCGTAAAAAGGGATACAAAGTTTTCCTTCATATTTTTTGGAGAATACCTCGTTCCGTAAGTTGTAAACCAAGTGTCCGTCGCGTGAATAGCTCAGATGGTAGCCAAGACATTACAAGTATCGATATTGATAACAAGTTATAATCTAAACTAAACAACGGAAGTAATTTACACTTTGTAGTTTGTTCTATGGAATAACAATAATAAACAAGTAACGGCTGACATCCTGCACGCGCACCAATAAAATACACAACAGATCAGCTGATTACAACAGTTTACTGAACTTGAGTGCTTAAAACAAGAACTGTAAGCACGAAATTCCCGTGTATGTAACCGCCAAGGTATTTCTCTTCATAGACAAGGAACAGCTGTTTTCTGTCAAAGGAACTGAACATGTGTCTTGCTTGCGTGTGTGCGTGCGTCGTAAACAAAAGGATTCGCAGAAACACTGAGGTCCCAGTCTGTAATTGATTTATTTATAGATCTGTGCTACCGGAGCCCTTTAACAACATAAAATAATTGCCGCCACCTTGAGACATGAGGGTAAATCGTAGTTGTATAGTGTAACCGTCCCAATTGTTTCTCATTTGTCTTGGTTAGATATTTATTACAACGTGAAGTTATTCATGAAATCATGAACATTAAGATACTGTTAATTAGGTAAGTATTTCAATGTAATATATTCATATAAAGTTAGTTTTTAAGCTGGGCACATTCAGTCTGATTACAACACAATAGGTGACTGATAATGTCTATTATGAAATAATACAAAGATACCTGTGGCGTGAACCAGGGTAAGTCGATGTCCTGCGACAATCCTAGATGGCAATAAAACGAATATACAGTATTTAGAAAAAAACATTTATTTTCATTAGAGATCTTTGATATTTACTAAAATATTTATATTTAATCTTCTTAATCTAAAACGGGTCTAATCCGGGCGGGTAACTACGAATCAATTTTCTAATAATTTATAAATATGTACTATTATGTATGTAGTTCGCTGAGAGCCGAGCAAGCAATATTATTCCGGTGTAAGTGTATTTACTCCCGCGTGTAGCTCCCGATGAAAAAATACTGATGGATCGTCCAGCTCACAGCAATGCTTTGTTCGATGACAAAAATCATGAACACGTTTAATTTAATTTTAAAATACTTGTTTATCGCGATATGCTCTAGTCATCAGAATTCTGGGTTACGGCAGAAATGTCATTTAAATTATCAACCAACTTAACACCATTAATATAGAAGTACAGTAAAAGTTCCTTATTGACGATTTCGAAATTCGCCACTTATTTGCAGAGCTTGCGCCCGCGCTTTTACTGTATACAATTTTTAGTTATTCGTCAATTAATTAAAATGATGATTATTAACGCCGAGCAGCCATAAGCACGTCATTTCGGATCCTCACGATCCACTAACGGCGCTTTTAGATACCTCAAGCACCGGTCACCGTTCTCTTCGAACCCCGTTTGTGACGAAGGGTTCGGCGAGTAAATTAACCCACAGACACAGCCCTATTGAGTTTCTCGCCGGATCTTCTCAGTGGGTCGCGTTTCCGATCCGGTGGTAGATTCAGCGAAGCACTGCTCTTGCTAGGGCTAGTGTTAGCCCCGAGAGCTGAACTACTCGCCCGGCGAATCTAGTATAAGCCCTAGAGGTTACTAGAGAAGGTAGTATAAAAAACTCCGGGCGCATATTTTGCGTAACGGCTCGGTTCGTTTCTTTATCTTCGTATAACGCGAACGAATGTTAGCGCCGGATGTAAGATCCGTCAAACGTTTGCGTCCGGTCTGGTACGAAGTGTGTGTGCAAATTGTGTTTCGGAAATTCGTAGGACTGATACGGACTGATGGTAGTCGGTTCTGCGGGGCAAGTGCTTCGCGCCTTTTTCAAGGCGTAGTTTCCTGTGAGAAATTGGGGGAGGTGAAGGACCTCGGCCCTTCTCTTCTCCCCTTCTTCCTCTCAGGAGGCGCCGGAGTCCGACATAGCTCGGTCCGTTACCCCCCTCGACTGAGTATCCGTAAATGGATTCCCCAGCGTCAAAAATAAATAATAAAAAAAGGGCTGATACGTTTGCGGCCAGAATACTTATTGTTGCAGAAATACATAAGGTATTGACTTCTTAATAGTTGTGTGTGAAGGTTGATTATTGCCAAAGGTTCGTTGTTATATTCTGAATAATATTATTTATCGAGTTTTTACTTTATGTAAAAGTACACTTTGAATAAAACTTTGATTTGAACAAGTTCAGGCTTCATCCAACTGTTTTGAGTGCATTGTCGAGATTTTCATTATCAGCTACACGCGGCAGGGCTGCTCATATACAAAAGATTTCTCGTTTGATTTATTAAGCATTTATTTTAAACCCAGTTTATTTATTCACATTGAATTATTGTATTGTTTTGAGCTTTCCGTTCGCCTTATCGCGAGTAATTATCGAATACAAACAGAATACCGTCACTCATCTTATGATCAGAAGTAATCGAAATCATAAATCTTTGGACTCGACTTCAGATCTTTTGCTGTGAATTTTTCCAATTATTTAGGTACAATAGTTCCTTCCGGTCCGTAACATCTACTCTCTACATGTAACAGTACCTACATATAGTATTATGCATATAGTATTTACATCGCCTTGATGGCGATTTTATAGTAAACTTGGAATACTTTAATAATATATTATCTAGAGTTATTCCTTAAGAGGTAACGAATTTGATGCATAAAAATAAATATTTCCGATCATCACTAATCTTTAAAATTATTGTTTAATCCTAATTAGAAGCACAATTTTAGATTTGTCTCCAACAATTCTTATCCATTTGGGCATCAGTCCAACCTCACATAGGTTTCCTCAGAATTGACTAAAGAACATAACATGCCATAGTCCAGTCACGAAATTAAAAATATATTTTAGATCTAAATAGATTAGATTAGAATAGATAGATAGATTAGAATTGAATAAAGAGTTGACAATAAATAAAAAAATAAATGAAGCGAGTCGTTATTTTAGTAGTATTTGTATATGTTTATAGACTTAATAGAAAACCCTAAAGCTCAACCATCATACCATCCTACGTTCAAACTTGTTTTACGATTATCACTGATGAGACTTGTGCAATAAAAAAAAGACTTCGACTGAAGACAACGTACAATTTAGTAAATTTCAAAAACTTTAATGTTTCTATCGGAGAGATCGCTGCTGTCAGTAGGTAATTGTCTGTAATTGTGATTTGCAAATGATTCAATATTCAAATCATATATTACTTTATGAAGTTTACAGAAAACGTTTCCAACCAAGAACATAGGTAAACCCGTCATAGCTCACATCATAGGATTTAAAATTACTATTAAGTATTGCTACTCGTATAGTCTGCAATGTGTTGCTGGAAAATAAAATGGCGCGCGGAGCCAACGTGTTATCAGTTTCATGCCAGAGTTAAAATTGTTCGAAATACTCATTTACTCAGTCGTCAGAGCTTATACGGAGCTTTACAAATGCTTAGTGTGTCCCGTTTAAATTAATCTTTAGGTCTACATTACTTGCTTTTCTGCATCAAAACTTTAAATTCTATATTCACGATCTTTTTTTTCTATATTAATACACCTCAAAAATTTAAGCGTCCATTGCCGCCATTTTTAAAACACAAACACTTCATTAGAAATCAGTCCTGAAATCGGAAGCGGCATTCCGACCATTATTACCACGAGTTCACGATCCGGTATTGAGGCTGGAGGCGCTGTTTTGTGCGTAGTAATATTGATACAGCCAGTTGTAATAATGCGCTGTGCCGCTGTAAGGAAGGGCTCAGGAAGGTTTCCGGTCTTCGTCCTCCGCGCCGTCTCCGGCCTCGCTGCTCGAAGAACTCCCCGCCCCCTGAGCCCAGAGACCGGCGTAACTCTGCTGCTCCGCTATCAAGGCCTCTTCGGACTCAATAACGGCATTAAATACGATTTTTTTTATTTTTACTTGAGTGGGAAATGGCAGTCTTTTAGTAGACTGGCACATGCTGTTGAAAAATATGTCCAGAGGGTCAGGCAGCGTCGGAGGCGGGGTCTCCCTTTTCCGCTCCAAGTAATGAGCTTCCGTGAACATTTTTTTGTTTTGGACTTTACATAAATAGTCAAGCTTCCTGTCGATCACGGTTAGCTGCTCGCAGTTCTTTCTTTTAGGTGACGATTCTGCTTCGGACTCCGACTCCTCAGAACTATGGGCTTCCCCGTTATGTTGGTGACCATTTTCTTGCTTGACTACCGGTGCTGAATATACTGGTGATTCGACGGGTTTTTTCCTATTGCTCATGTATGGTTGTAGGAATTGCATCGGTCCCATGTATTTCCAGGGATACGACTTTTTGGTGGGATTGCTTGGATCTTTGGCTAGCATCTCGTTTTGTCTCTTCAGCGCGTCCCTGTAACTATCTCGAAGTTTCTTCCATTTTAATTTTACTTCTTTGACTGTAAAGAATGAAATAATTTAAAATTTTTGTAGAAGAAACATTATTGAAAATTTATTAACAGTGACAACCATATATTTTCAAATTAAAATAATAATTAATCAGAGATGAATACCGCACGGTAATCTGACCCCAAACTAGGAGTCCCTGTATGGGTACCAGAGACTGATGCCCATACGTTTAAATGTATACATGTATATAAATTAGGCACCCGGATATAGAGCATACAAACTGTCTTCGTTCGTCACACGAATGTTTGCCCGAGGTGGAAATCGAACCCACTATTATAATATATAAATATGGCCCTTACTATTTTCGTTTCTGAGCACATGCTGATTATAAGAGTGGGGTCATCGTTACTACAATGTATAATAGTGATTTCAGTCTCATGTCACAACACAACAAATATTGCTGTGTCTATGAACTCTGATTACCACTGAAACGTGAATTAGTGTGTCAAAATAAACCAATAATAAATTTTGTTCAGTTTGCAATTTCAATTCGTTCAGATAATCACACAAGATCATACGAGAAGTCCACGGTATGCATGCATCGTTAAGGGTGTTATAGTAAGCTTGCAATTGACAGCTTGTTAGTAATATTTTGGCCGGTAGCATATAAAGCTTATTCCAGCGACACAGTAAAAATAATTTAAGAAAGAGAGTCGTAATTGTAAGCACACAAGTACAAAATTACTAACAATTACAAACAAAATCATAACGACCGGCTGATAAAACAGCGTACGCTATTATCGAGCTCACATAGGACGCGGCGCCGGTTACGTATTCACGGAACATCTAGGTGGGGCGAGCGTCAGTATAGGTACTCGACCGGGGACAGCGCGACTCACCCGACGACAGATCGGTCTCCTTCATGACTTCGGCCCAAGCCGCGTCTTTTAACTCTTGGTCTCTGTACTCGATGGCCGTCGTGTTCCACAGGCAGGGGTATTTGCGAACGGTTTCAATGAAGTGCTCCATGACGCGGGCGGTGCGCTAGCTAGGTCGGCCGGCGCGGCACTGGCGCAGCTCGGCCGCCGCCTCACCCTTGCTCCGCAGCCCGCTCCCGGCCCGATACCGCACGCCGCGCCGCTCCCGGCCAGAAACAAAACAATCGTTCGTTTCTCGAAAAAAAAAAAAAGTCGCCTTGCTGTGTTTGCGGCAGCTTGAGTTCACCGATGCGCGCTCCGAGCAGAAATCACGAAGCTTAAATAAACAAATCTAATTAATACTAATCTTGTAATGTTTATTTGCTGAACTAATTTCGAAATCAAATGAAATATTCGGTTTTTAGATCAGTGTGCTTAGTGCGAGTTTCTTAAAGCTCTCGATAGCATAAAAGTTAAGCCAATTTTGTATGCAGTTGGAACAGCGTCCGTAGCGGTAAACGTACGCAAACGATCCCATTCCATACAAATATGAGCTAACTTTTACGCTATCGAGAACGTTAAAAAACTCGCACTAAGTACACAGGTTTACCATGCCTACCTTCAAAACTACAGTTTACAATATCACACCCATAAAACCTGCAAATCGCATTCTCTGTAAGATATACCATTAGAGGAATGGAAACTAGAATCTTATAGTAACAAATAGCTTGAACGTTCGCACACACCACACGCATCGCATACAGTCATGTGGCTCTAGTTCAACTTACGTACAGCGAGAGCTTTTGCTTTTTTTTCATTAAATGCCATATCTATGTCACATAAGTATCGATAAACGCACAGACTACATCATTACCGATATCAATAATCATCTCTCCATCGTCCTAAGTTGAATGTGAGAAAAAACATGTTTTGAAACATTAGATAAGCTTGAATGGTATGCCAGGGGTGCGATACTTCGAGCGCTAAAATCGTACATTAAGGTGCCATTCGTGATGAGGAGTTTTTGATCAAGTGAAAATCCTTGCTAAAACCGAGCTTACTAAAGCTTAACGAGTGCATGCGCCAACCTTCAGTTCGCGAATTATGGAGAACAGCTGCCGGGGCTTTAATTAACAAGGACTTCAGATGACCATGACTGCTCTACTAAGAGTACTGGTGGTAGGACCTCTTGTGAGTCCGCACGGGTAGGTACCACCACCCAAACTGTTTCTGCCGTGAAGCAGTAATGCGTTTCGGTTTGAAGGGTGGGGCAGCCGTTGTAACTATACTTGAGACCTTAGAACTTATGTCTCAAGGTGGGTGGCGCATTTACGTCGTAGATGTCTATGGGCTCCAGTAACCACTTAACACCAGGTGGGCTGTGAGCTGGTCCACTCATCTAAGCAAAAAAAAAAAAAAAAAAGAGTAACCGTCTATGATGATAATGATGATGATTCTATATGGCCTGTGAAAACGAATTTAAAAAATAACTTACTTTTAGTAACAGTATAACTAGGCTATGTCTACAGGTAACAACCGTATAAAAACACCCAAAAAACATTTAGAGGTACAAATTCATTTCAATGTAATACTCATTTATTGAGTTCGGAAGTTTTTCCATTAGGCACGGCAAAGGGTAGCGCTGTTCAGTTGCCGTCGAAGAGAAATAAAAATGAAAAAGAAATTCGGCCCTCTCCGAGTGAACGTCTCATTTCCGCTGTAACGCGGGTATTTACACTTTGCTGTGTGTAAAGAGGACCTTTTGTAATTCCTCGGGCATTTCTAGAAATATTTTGACGAAGGAAATAATATCACTTCCTTTCTTTTGAAATTCACCGTCCTTTGTGGTGTTTGAAGTAAAAAAGTGCTCGTTGTATGCGATAGCTGAGTGACACTCATGCGCGAGAACGTAAGTTTTGTACTGGGCATGTATCATAACACAGAGCTCATATACACTAGTAGATGACTATTAAATACCTACCTTACGCCGCATCTGCACAACGCCCAACTTTTCTCCCAATGAGAGAAAGAGAGAATATAATTTATTGTACACCAAATATTAAAAAAACAACAACACTACACAACACAACATTAAAAAAACAGCCAACAAGTAGATACGTTTCTACAATAGGCGGTCTTATCGCTAAAGCGATCTCTACGACCAAGCAACCGTTTAATTTACAGAAATTCTGGAAAAGATACAGATACAGCAGATATGTTGCAGTGTACTAATAAATTAGCCCATTTAGTTTCAATAAATTACCGCAACTTTATTTTGAGACAGAGAGGTTTAATAAATTATCAGCATTAGCACTGAAGGGCTCTATACCCTTGTGTACGAAGAGCCTTGGACTTCAACCAGAACTCTCCAGAACTCTTAGGGCGAGGGTTTAACTCTACTTGTCCAGTTATTTTTCACCTAATAACTACTAATTATTATTTTTGGGCACCCAACCAATTTATTTTACGTCTTTCTAATGCGACCCTAAATCCAAGCCCCGATTCCTCCCCGGCCATGCCAGAAACATCACCCTTGTCCTATTATTTTTCAATTTCGCCCAACGTTGAATTCGTAATTGCTAATGTAAACGCAAATATTTCAAAAAGGTTCTTGTTTGAAGACGCGTCGCTAAGTAATGGATGTGATTTGGATATTATGGGTCCTCGCTAGTAATCTTCGTGCTGAGTGATTGCCTATTGAAAATTGTTGGATTATGTAATTATTGTAATAAAGTTGTCATATTTAGTACAGTAACATTTTTAAAATTACAATTTTAAACGAAAACAATGGCAGTAACTTGTGAGGGTTTGCTGATATGACTGTTCGGATTAGTGATGTCAACCGGTTTTTAGAAAACCCAAAAAAAAAACCTTTCTATCTAAAACCGATGCGAACTGGTTTTTAAAGGAAAACTTAATAAGCTTGTTTCGCACCGGCCACCGCGGCACCGTCCTCGCCACGACTAATAGTTCGACGAGGGAACAAACCCACAGACACTGCCCACTGAATTTCTCGCGGGATCTTTTCTGTGGGTTGCGATTCCGATCCGGTGCTAGATTTTATTTTTTTATTTTTTATTGCCTAGATGGGTGGCCGAGCTCACGGCCCACATGGTGTTAACCCCGTGCCTCAGGTTAGCCCCGTGAACCCTCCAGGCGTAGTTAGAAACTCTCCTTAGGCTATCAGCAAATAAGTAGGAAAACTTGTTCAGCTCACCCTCCATTGAGCTGATCAGACTACACGCTTCTAATTTGTATATTATTGTTCATAAAGGCTCATAGTACGTTTAAATAATAATAAATTCATTTAATGGCTTTTACACGGGCTTAGATTATTACAGGTAAATAAATAAAAGACAGAAACAGAGCATAGGGATGCGCGCGGTTTAGATGATGCTGTTCAAAATGGATGCACTGAACAGTGCCTATATATTATTATATACCTCGGTTCCCCTTTGGTGCTTTGCGGGATTTAAGGCCAGGTACGTGTGCATAGACTTAAAACGTGGTATAAGCTCATAGTACTGTAGCAGCAGTACATCGATTTCCATTGAAATGCTGTGAGTAGTACATATGTAGTATGAAATTTATGTTTGGTAAGCACATAAATAACAAAACTTTTTTTTTCCCTACCTATTCTAGTAACCTCGAGGGGCTATTCTAGTTTCGCTGAGCTTGTAGGTGAGCTCACGGGACTCAAACCTGATGACGTTGCTAACACTGGCCCTAGCAAGAGCCGCGCTTCGCAGAATCTACCACCGGATCGGAAACGCGACCCACTAAGCGAACCCAGTGGGCTTAACAAAACCGGGAACATTAGACTTTATATAACAGCAGCGAACGGAGAGTTTTATTGCTACAGTTTCTGTATCAAAACCACTGCGCATGTACACAGGAAATGTTCCTGGAATTGTTCTTGGAAACAACGCACAGAATTTACAAGTACTTTCTGGAAAATTAATGCGCATTTGGTGCCGGTTGACAAAATAGCTAGGACATATACTTATATCAGCGCCAGCTACTTCATTACCGTCCGAGCGTATGCTCTCCGCGTCTTATGGTCGGAACTCTTCAATATGAAGTGTACTATCTATGTCGGAAATTGTTACTTACTATCGTCACGCAGAAGTGGGTTAGAGAAAACTCTATTAGATCAACTCTGTTCTGTAAACAAAAATTATGAACTATCTTTACTGGTGGTAGGACCTCTTGTGAGTCCGCGCGGGTAGGTACCGCCGCCTATTTTTGCCGTGAAGCAGTAATGCGTTTCGATTTGAAGGGCGGGGCAGCCGTAACTACACTTGAGACCTTAGAACTGATATCTCGAGGTGGGTGGCGCATTTACCTTGTAGTTGTCTATGGGCTCCAGTAACCACTTAACACCAGGTGGGCTGTGAGCTCGTCCACCCATCCAAGCAATAAAAAAACAGTTTCTAAAATGTATCATGTTTTTATGTTTAAAACTGATTGCCAAAAAAGCCATTTCTGTTATAAACTAAGCGGTTTAAGCCGGTGCTAAAAAATTGTAAACGATTAACATCACTAGTTAGGATGCTTATCAAAACCATACGGATAAACACTTCGAACAGTTATTCGCCACAATTTTTAAAATGGCAGTTCGAATGTTGTTGTTTAGGGAAGACTAGACGATGACCGTTTTTTTTTTGATAACGCTTTTTTGGTTAGTTGCCCTGAATTAAGAAAAATAATATTATTATTCGCCAATAGATGTCGGGAAGAGTTGATTATTGAAAACACGAATAAAACAACATTTTCTGAAAAAAAAATCGTAGCTAGATCGATTTATCGCCCCCGAAATCTCCTGTATACTAAATTTTATGAAAATCGTTGTAGCCGATTCCGAGATTCAGATACAAAAATTGCTCGTTTAAAGGTATAAGATTATCACGAAAATGTTGTTAGCACGATTTAGTTTTGGATCAAATGTCTTCTATTCTATGATGACTACCGCTACATCATTCATATTACTCGTAGTAGTAGATTCTACATCCACATTTATTGTTCTTTACCAAACAAAACTAAAATAAAAGCGAGGTGGCACGGCTATAATACTTGACTCGTCCAAACATCGATATATTACCAATTATGGTACCAATTATGGTAATATATCGATGCGTCCAAAACTTTAATCTACTGCTCCTGGCCCGATAGATTAACACGTTCGAATGAGCAACGTCTTACAAT